GTCTACGAGAAAACTGGCAATCTATAGTGAGGGAGAGCGTTTGCACGAAAGTGTATGTGGGTGAGGACGACCTGAGTCCTGGCACGAATGTAACAACGACAGTAGCAATCTGTTTAGTTTTCATACGGTCTCGTTCGCTCGCTTGCATGCTCGCTTGGATGGTAGTTCACACAACGTACGTGGTGGTGGTGGTGGTGGCGGCAGCAGCAGCAATGGANTGCAGGCGGGACAGTTTGAGCACAATCGGACAAGGTACGGAAGAGACAGGGTTGAAGTTGCACAGTGAAATTCGGAGCAGGGTAAGGTGACCATGTATCACGCACACACACACACACACGCACGCACGCACGCACGCATGAATGTACGGGATCAGAGCAAGCGGTCCAATTTAGATCGGCCTTGTGCGCACTGACTGTCTGTGATCTCACACGACGGTATATTGGTGTATGTAGCGTATGCACACGTCACGCTTGCATGCCTCCAAACATGATGCGAATAAACAACAAATGAACAGTGTGCATTTGTCAAGGTCGTTTTCCGAGTTGTCCACTGGACATACACAAGTGCGCTCTTTTCAACCGATTTATTTTTTTACTGCGATTCTTATACCCAATCCAGACACTGAAACTTTTGACCCGGAATAGATTGCCTCTGTATGCGCGCTGACCTTGCACTGAGCACATCCTCCTAAAAACCAAGCGGGACTGGCCTCGACTGATGAGGATGATGAAAATGGATGACATGAGAAAATAGATTGCTTTTGCTTTAAGATGGCCAGGTATAATTACTGCGTTTCGCAAGAAAAAGTCTGTGCCTTTTAGAAGACTTGGTTTGATTACAATATACACCCTTCGTACACATCTCGTATTTGACAAAACCATGGATTTTATTTTGACATATTCTGTTCCTGCGTTGTTCTGCACACGGTCTTTATTTAAAACCCCATGCTGAACTCCTGAACCGCTATCACGAGCAGACTATTGATGTCGGCCTCAGATAGTGGGGGAACTGTGGGAAATTTTATTTACGCTTAGAGTGTAAAGAAAGAGAAAAATAATTTAACTTCTAGTGAACAGTGGCTCCAACAATATAGAATGGATACTGACCTGGCCTGAATCGTCTAAATCTTACTGCAGGTAATTTTCACCGCGACGCATCTGCGTGGTAGTCATTCCATTTATAGCGGCAGCTGACTGACTGGTAAAAATTCACCAGTTTCGACACCCAAAGTCAATTTGCTTAGGCGCTAACAAGAAATTTCTTTGGCTTAGTTGATTCCATTAAACTGGTACTTTCGATCTGCTGCGACTGTGGATTTTTCGATAATAAAGAAATAAATCGGAAAATTTGTGATGCAAATGATGAGAATAAGTAAAAGGAACTTCTATCTGATTGTCTGGACAGAGAATGCTCTACATGCTTTTATTTACTGGGTCTGTCCTTGATAAGTTAGTTAATATAAAACAACTGCTTGATAGCGGCGGTTGTCAATTCAACTACACCTAGTGGATTTCATGTGAAATATGCGCAGATCACGGAAGTTCATCGGAAACTTGCAAAAATGGGTAGCCAGATATATCCCCCAACCTGTGGAAAATTATTCCAATGCAAGCGATCACTTGGACTAGGATTCGTTATCGATTCACGATAGAGCCAAGTTGGTTTTTGACAGTGAACTCATTAGTTTTGAGAAGTCCTGTGTTTTAAGGTTTGCAATTGGGAAAACAGCTAACTGGATTACAAAATTGGATCAGTACCCAATGTTCACAATTACGGTTTGGGAAGCAAGCTTTTATCAATGTCTATTTCAGCTTGTATTTTTTTAATTGTATCATATGTAAAAATACATAAAAAATAATAATAGAATGTTAGTACACTTTACGGTGTCGACAACCGTATCTTGGATAACAGAGGTTAATTATTTTTCGTATAATAAATGCTCTATAGAATACATGTGCGGCCCAGATATTGCATCATTCCCGTAACTCCAAGGTTTCTCCCTCGACAGAGGCATTTACATCTTTATAACTCAGTAGATGACTAACAGCCACTTCGTCGGAGGCATTATCAACTTAACAAACCGCAACGCTTGAAGGCCACAGACAAGTAAGAAGAAGCGTCATCTGTGCGGGCTGGTTATTTTACTGAAAGAACTGTACAAGTTCACAAAATCGGGTACTTCGAATTATTAATTTTTCATGCAGATATTTCCACATATCACTTTGGAGTGAACCAGTGATATATAAAAATGTTCTTTTCATCTCATGTTCTAATGACATCGGGTAGATAATAGTAAAATTTCACATGGGTTTCCGATAAAACTCCGGAAGGAAACACTAGCTTTCAGCCTAAACAACCAATATCCATGCACTTTGGGGCCGATAATTCGGTTATTGTCTTTCGGCTACCTATTAGGATGAAGAAGTAGAGGGAAGATTTGAAGGTTTAAAGCAGTGTCAAGGTGAGACTAGAGAACTGATGTAGACTGTGGTTGCAAGAACATTGAATAGATCTACGAGCACTGCTGCCTAAGACCCTCAGTCATGAAGTCAACACTACAAAGTCCAAAAGTGTTCAGCTCATTCAGAGTATCTGAAATGGTAACAAAACGGGGACAGTTTCTGCCGTGTTTGTGAAGTCAGCTCAACTGATAATTTTTCATTTTTCAGTTAAAAATTCTAAATTAACATGAACATTTCAGATATACTTCTTCCGATTGTTCTCAGACTTCAGTTTAGAGTCCGAAACACAATTTACGATGAAAGAAGTTAGTCAAACCTCGTTATCTCACACTTCTGTGATTGTGGTAATAAAGAAGGTGTAAATTCTAATAAATAATTAGTATATAAATAATAATCATAAATAATAATTAGTAAAAAATGAACCTTTGTTTGAATATCGCCATGAACAGATCTTTGTAATGATTATTCCTTTCAACCACGCACAAAAATGCGAAATCCTTCTCATCGATTAAAGTAACGTTGTATAAAAAAGGTTTGGCATTGCTTTTAATGATCTTTCAACATCTAACAGTATTGAGGAATAGATGGGTTTTAAAACACATCTGCCCATCCACTGTGATCAATCATGTATACATCCTTAAATCTTGTATATATAGTATACATATTTTCTCCAACCAAATCAGTAACAGCGTGTAAGACTGCGGATTTTGTTTAAGACTCCACGGATGTGGTGGTGGTCAGGTGGTAACGTCACCAAATTATCCCACCGAGGGACTTGTGTTCGAATCTCACCAGCACGGCCGGACTTCACCCACTGTGATTTATATGACGGTCCGTTGATTAACCGCTTACCCCTTCCCGAAATTTGTATCATTATGTATTCAATAAAAGGAAATAAAAATGAAAAAAAATTAAGTTGTCGATCATCTACAAAAAAATTCCGGGAAAGCGGAACTGGTGAACTATAGTTCATATACGGAAATAATGTGACTCTATATTTACTATTAGCTAAAGATGATGAACAGTAGATGCAGAAAGCCTCATAGTCATGAGAACCTGATGTTCTGGGATGAAAACCGGTAATCTAAGCTCCGGGACCTGGAGTGGTGAGCCACATCAGGCGTGATATTGACAAGGACGACAGAAAAGCTGCCGACCAATTAAATTGGGTGGCGGCAGCGGAGCTCAAACCTCGGACTATAGGGGACAAAGCATGCCGGTGACAGGAACTAAACCACTGAGCCACAACCATCTCAAGGAATAGCACTTATTTTTAAAGGGAATGTTAAATTATTGTGATCAATGTTGGAGTCTTGAAGTAATCAGGTGGGTCCAACC